CCGTTTAGTCCAGTTTTAATTACGAGTTTGAAATCAACACGCGTCTCTCCAAACATCAATTGTCGAAGAGATTTTGCTGAAGAAGCTGCGAGAACGGCTGAAGCTCATTGTGACATTGTGACATGTATAAACATATAAAGAAAGGAATTGATAAAAAAGTCGCGGCGTTCTATGATGAGTGTTATTTTTAAAGGAGCGTGCGAGTATGCAATGTAGTTTAGCCTCTTTACCGCGTTATAGTATATTTTTTAATGTTAAAATTGTCCTGTGACTATACGTACACATTGCGCTGAAAATGACCACAAAAAATGGTCGAAACGTTCGCGAGTTTTTATGTATTAACGGTTAAGAAGAATATATACAACTTTGCGGCGCCCTATTTACCGCGCCTATTTACCGGCTCTTATTGCCTCTTTCCCTTAAATTGAGTTATTTTTAAAGTTATTGCATTCTCGAACAATAATAACATTTAAATTTGCATAATAATAATTAAATATTAATCATTAAGGAAATATTATATTTTGTAGTGTTCTTTTTATTTTTATTTAATTTATTTTATATTTATAAAAAGAATAAGAAGAATACTACAAGCTATATATGTATTATTAATAATCAAGATTTATTCACCACCTAAGATTCATCGTGACGTTATGATGACCGTAAATATTCGCCGACAATGCGAGTTTAAAAGATAGTCTTTCTTCGCGGCGCTTATCTAAAGTCAAAACGACACGGAGAGACGCCTAAGAGCGGCCATTATTGTTTTGATGCAATCGCTATATAAGTGATACTCCACATATCGACACGAAACATGGACGTTAAACTAATCATTAGGGAGAAAGCTGTGACAACGTAAACGACGCTGCTTTGAAAGCTTCCTACTCGGTACTTAAAATAAACCTTAAAAATCAGTTAGCGAAAACACCAAAATTTTTACGATAGACGTTTGCCGTGCACGCCGCGGCGCGCGCCGGCATTCCCGGACTCGGCGACCTATTAGGTCAAGGCCAATTTAGAAAGTAGGTCAATGTACAGCTCGTGACAAAAGTGTCCCGCCGCTCAAGTAGGTCAAGGCCATGTGTCGCTGGCTTGACGCGAGAAAGTCTTCCCTATTGTTTATCGCAAATATCTGGGCAACCACCCAAGATATAGAGATGATTCAAAAAGGACTGTTTAGTTTATACTCTACGCTATTGGAATATCTCGATTTTGTTACCAACAATTACGTCCTTCCGTTTATTTAACATGATAAAGCGCGGGCGTGCCGTAAAGATCGGCTGCCAAATGATTTCTGACTTTCATAAAACGTTTATATCTCGGCAATCGTAAAAGACAGAATGATGATTCAAAAAGCACTTTTTAGATCGTGCTCTACTCTATTAGAATTACTCACTTTTATTATTGGCAATTATTTATTTCCGTTTATTAAGACGAGAAAGCGCGCAGCTTAAGGATTCGGGCGCCAAGCGATTTTTTATTTTCATAAAACGCTTAGATCTCCGACAACCGTATATAAATGATTATAGAAAGACGATTCAACAAGCACTCGTTAGTTTGAAATCTGCCCTATTGGAATTAGTCATTATTAATACTGGCAATTTTACAGTTTTGATTACTAAGACGAGAAAGCGCGCAAGATCTTAAATGTGCGCCGAGCGACTTTTTATTTTCATAAAACACTTGTCATATATCTCGGCAATCATAAAGTGATAGAAAATTGATAGAAAAACACTACAAAATCGTTTATGCAACACGTGCATGGAAAGTGCCCCATTACGCACGCTACGCGTGCGTGATAGACCACTTTCCAGGCACTTGCAACATAAAATAGGGAGTGTAAGTCGTGGCGAGTGCGGTAACCGCACCCGGAAATTTTCATTTTACCTTACTTGTTACACAAATAACTATTTAGCCTTTTTTTTCTCGTTTTTAATGTTTTTTTTTTAAGCTGATTTTATGAATTATTGTTAAGTATTTTTGTTGCGCGCCGACTTTGAAACTGTGTATAATCCGAGTCGATTTTGGCTAAAATTATATGGAATAAATATGTTCTCGTCAAGATATAAGGTAAATTTATATTATTCGTTCACTGTCGCGAAAATCGCCAATGTATCACTTAATATTGTCAATTTTTTTCGCCCAATTAATCAATTTCGTCGTATACCTATTATACGAACAATTTGCATTTTTATTTATTTGAAATATGTAATATCCTGTAATGATTATCGGACTTAGTCAAAATTTAAAGAAAATATTAACATTACGATGTTAGTGCTAATAAATGACACGCTTATCAAGGATTTGAAGATAAAAAGTTTCGAAACATTACTGAATATAGGTAATTGGCGAGAATAACGTAAATTCTTAAATTATATTATCAGTGTACGAAATTAAACAATTGTTAAAAAGCGCCGTTATATTTACATTGATATATCCTCTTTAGACAAAACATGCTCTTTCAAATAAAATTATAGACAAAGAATTTTAGAATGCTGTTGCATAATGCTAGCCAACGAGAAAGAGGTAGTGTCGAATGCCGTCGCTCGGCGTTCGGTGAATCGAAGCTCCGAAATGAGAGAATGCGACAAACAATACTGTACACGACTATACGAATCTCGAGAAATACGTTTATTTCAACATTGTTATGTGTTCTTTAATGCGAGGCATGTTTTCTCGAAGCAAATTACTCCATAAAAAGTTTTAGAATGTTGTCGCAAAACGGTAGCCAACGCGAAAGAGGAGACTTTAAATGCCGACGGGCGACGATAATTGAATTTTGAAAAATAGCTTCATGTGTTAACTATATATATGTATCTTTTAATGTAAGGCATGTTCTCTCGAGTGGAATTAGACTATAAAAGGTTTTAGAATGTTGTTATAAAACGACAGCCAATTAACGAGAAAGAGAAAGTTTCAGATGCCGACAAACGACGGATATTGATAAATTTTAAAAAATAGCTTTATTATTAATTTTAACATTGCCCCAGTCGCCAGAAACAGAAAAAAGAGAGAGAAAAGAAAAAGGGAAAGAAGGAAGAAAAAGAGAAAGAATCGAAGAGAGACAGAGATTGGCCGCACATGCGCTCTATCTCTCTCATTTTGAGAACCATTTTGTGTTCCAGGATGGTGCAGACTGCGACTGCAGGCTAGTCGTCTAGTGCTATATTATATGTCGATGTTGTTATGCAACACGTAAGCGGAGCTAACCTCACTGTCGGTTTTGATAATCGGTGTTTATAAGATCTTGGAACCCACGTAATCGTCAGAAAAATCATGGCGCGGTACGTTATTCTATTATATTCATCAAAAATCCTGTACTCTAATATATATTAATTATATGATTAGGTCAACAATGCGTGAGGCAAAACTTTGATGTTGACATACGTCAGTTTTTCATGCACTGTAACTTTAAAGTAATATTGAAGCATCAGATTTTCTCCGCAGTCGCGGAAGAATTTGTTATGATAAAAAGCAGCCGTATCTTATTTCACTTGTTTGCATAAATTCCTTTGTTATCCAAAGTCATGGGACCAACATTTCACTCAGCTGTCTTCGCTCAATCTTTTCATGTTGTAGAAAGGTCGAAGAAACAACATTAGAATAATGTTTAGTTACCCTACCTAGATTAACAATAGCTTTACATAATTATTATTGTAATTTGTCATAATTTGTCGTGATTGGCTTTTTAGAGTACCAGAGATCCCGGACACCAAGGCCATGGATGGGGACAGGCCCATGTCCATAGTGCGTCGTGTGGGACGCGAAAGGGAGCGGATGCTGGGAATGACGGACGAGGAGCGGGCGTGGAGGAAGAAGTGGTTGGACGCTCAGAAACTCGCGCCCGAGGAGCCGGTGATGCCCAAAGGCTACTACGAACAGATGTACAATCCGATCAGGCGATTCTACATGGCACCCATGAACAAAGTCCAGAACATGCTGGAACCGTTTATTGTAATAACGAGAAAGAGTCAGCTTGGCAACACATACGTTTGTGATACAAATAGTTTATAACATTTCTCGCTCTTGTAGGGTAAAACATCAGCGTACGTGCTGCGGCACACTCTGACCAGAATGGCAATGGGTACCTTTGCAATCTATTGTATCTATTATCATCTCAAGTACAACAGAATGGTATGCAAAAATCTATTTCAACGTACTGAACGCCCTGCTTTTAGTAACGCGTCATATATTCTATTATATGTATTATACGGCTTCCTTCAGAACTGGACGAGGAACGGTGGATGGAAGATCACGGTGTCGAGACAAAAAATGTATCCTGACAACAAGGACCTGAATGCCTTATACAAAACGGAGGGCAAACAATTCTACGTAAACGATTTCGACAAGTCCCCTATATAAATCTCAAAAACGCGATATCTTCCTTGTATAGTTATTATTTAATTTACATCGTTAAATGTCACTAAAATGAGAAACACGATGTTGTTAAAGAATGTCATTAGTAATAAATTGTCCTTATATTATAATCCTCGTGATTGATAATTAACGTCCCATATCCCTCAGGTATTTTTTCATTAAGTTAAATCCGCGATTAATTTGTCGATTAATATCATTTTATTAATACGAATAGAATTATTAATTTAATTTTATTATATAATTCGAAATTTTGCTGTGAGGAATTCTGCCGATCGAGTTCATCGAGTTAATTAGAATTTGGTCGAAGTCGCCCTGAAAAACGGACCAAACGCGGTCGCTCGTTGTCGCTGCGATAGCGAGAGTCGACTCACGCTGATGCGAGTTTCCCTAAAAGTGAGGTTACGTTGCCCTGTTACAGCAGTATAAACATAACAAGTACTCCACATTCATGATCGTGTTTCCGAGTTAGAATAGACGTTATATCGAGAAAGTCAGTTTCTACGAGATGGCCGAGACTCCCTTGAGTTTGGGCGAGAAGACGTTTATTATGCATGGAGTCGACGTGAGTATATCCGTCAACAACAACACGTGCATAGTGTGCACGTGTTAATTTTGTTTCCGACGATCCGACGTGCACGCTTCCGTACTCGCCAGTATTTATTCTTAAACACTATAATTACCTCCGATTTATTAATTGTTGTATTTTAGGCAACTTCAGAGATTATTATAAATAAAAATTTAGGTTCGAAAAATATTTTTCTGTTAGCTTGTTTCTATACCCGGTTAATCGAATCTCGATAATAGATTTTGTGTCTGCTACAAATTTTGTCAGTAGAATTCTAGCAGAAGTGTAACAGAATATATTAAAAGAATATAATGACAGATTGGTTGCGAGAACCAATTGGAATCTGTCATTTAATAATCATTGACAGGGAATGTATGATTTAACCCTTTCAAGACGGTGGGAAACTTTTTTGTGTTTTTATATGCACAGTATTTTATGTGCATTAGTATCTTTTCGTACTTAAATGAATTATTAGACATGTATAAAAAGGATATTTACAAAATAAGAATTAAAAAAGTTTTTCATTTTTGTTTTAAACTTTAGTCCTGAATTTAAACTTGATGGTACATATATGTGTATCTGGAGTCTGGAAAGGGTTAAATGATTACAAAATGATAAATGGTTTCTGGCAGAATATAAGCTTAATGTAATTTATGCCAATCTGTTCTGCTCGAATCTACCAGCATATTGCTAACATTTTACTTATTGAGTTATACATTGTAACAATTGATTTGTTAATTTCAGCTTGACCTAAGAAACGACGGTCGATCCAGGTATCAGTATCGTTCTATTGAGATCGAAACCAGGTTGATGAAGCACGCGCACGGATCAGCGAGATTACGCATAGGCAACATCACGGATGTATTGGTCGGCGTGAAACTGGAGATCGACACGCCGTATGCCGAAAGACCAAATGAGGGCAAATTAGACTTTTTCGTAGACTGGTACGTATGCGTCTTAGGCTCGGATTCTCGATTAACGTTGAGTGACTTACTTTTGATTGTCTTTTCCAGCTCCGCTAACGCTACGCCGGCATTCGAAGGCAAAGGCGGGGACGATTTGGCGACCGAGATAAGTAACGTCCTTTCCATGGCTTATCAGACGCCAGATGCCTTCGATTTGAAACAGCTGTGTATAATACCTCATAAGAAGTGTTGGAAAATGTACGTGGATATCTTGGTAAGTACTGTCGGACGATACGACTGGATACGACCGCGCTTAGAAGTCTGCTTCATTGCTCCTTCACCTTTCCAGATCCTTCAATGCGGCGGAAATCTATTCGACGCTGTGGGTGCTGCGGTGAAGGCGGCGTTGTACAATACTGAAATTCCGAGGGTGATCACAGCAATGCTCGACGGTGGCGAGCCGGATATTCAGGTGTCGGACGATCCTTACGACTGTATCAAGCTGGATGTTACGAATTATCCGTTGGTAGTAACAGTATGCAAGGTATGCAATAATATTTAATCATTATTGTAAAATAAATGAGTTGATATGGTAGCAGATTATGTTTTCTATAAAAAAAGATACGATTTTTTCTTATTTTTGTAACTTTTTATTAATTACTTTGTACATTTTCGGCAATTAAGATTCAATGTTTAATTAATAAAAATGTTAATTAGTACGCTGAAAAAAAACCTTTCCTCTAACAGATTGGAGACAATTTCGTGATAGATCCAACGTTGGAAGAAGAATCCTGCAGTGCGGCTAGTATCCTCATGTCCGTGATGCCGAATGGCAAGGTGACATCCGTGGTCAAGCTGGGATACGGTAGCTTGCTGCCTAGTACCTTGATTAAGATGTTGCAGGTAATAACAGTATCTGTATATTGATTATTACACGCTGTGGTTGAAGGCGAACTATTCAGGATTTGCCTTTGAATCTGGATTTTCGATTTTACAGGTTGGAAAGGATATTGGCCTCAAGCTAAACGAAACACTTATGAAAGGATTGGAGGAGGAAAATAAGCTCGGCCAAACGAAACCTATATTTGGCTTTCTTAGATAATAACGCGCGCGTGGACGTTGTCATGGACTTCAGAAGATACAAATATATTTTTTTTAGATTCTTAATTGTGGACTTGTTAAGTTGCGCAGTGTTTCTCGTTATTTATATAACTTCTAATGTTACGATGCAACTGTGTTATTTTTAGGGGGGCCTGCTAGTTGTCTTCCAGAGATACACATGTGTACTACACACTACATTTCTTTGAAAAGATTTAGTGTTAGTACGAATGCTAAAATTGCGTGAAATTTTTCTAAACTCGTAGTGTTTTTCATACTTGCAAAATTCTACATATAAAGCTGCGAGAGCATACTTTTTACTAGTGTAACAATATTCAGTAATTAATTGTGTATGTATGTGTGTATTTGTGTGTGTGTGTGTGTAACTTTGCAAAGCATAATTTGGAAATTATTACGGACTTTGAAAAAAAATTCTTATGAGGCGTTGTGAAAGATATGTGTATGTGTAATGGTAGAGCAATGAATCAGTCAAATAAATGATACTAGAGACATGTGTATAGATTTCAACTATATACTATTATTTTTTAATTCAATAATAATTGTCCCGTCTTCTAATTCGGGCAAGTACATAAAAATCTCTTAAAACTTCAATAATTTCGGACTCTGAAGTTTAACAGCGCTCATTTACCGACTCTGTATGGCGTTTTCTTATTTTTTTAAAGGTTTTTTTTTATATGAAAAACTCGCGTCGCGCCCGGGACGTGTTCGACAATTTGTTCTTTGATCCTAAACATCATCCGCTTGCTTTGATTATATCTCGACAGGCGGATAATTGAGTGTTCGACAATCAAAGTCGATAAATGACGCGCGCGCGCGCGATGAAATCGGCTTGACCAGCGAATGTACAGAAAGTAACGCCTTCTCGTCCATAAGAATTAACATTGAGAAAAATAATTTCTGACGCGATTATTTCAATAGCATTCCTTTGTGTGTGTTTTACAGTAGGATATTCTTACGGTCGTATAAATATCCTCCATGAAGTCAGTTCGTTATATATAATGGGCAGGGAAGCGGGAAAATTCGCACGAAGCTCGAACTGTGATAACGAAATCCGTTGTTTCATTTCTTCTCTCTTTTTTTTTAACGATCTTTAAATAGAGTGGCTATTACAATGATTATGTTGAAAGTAGTGCTGAAAGTAGTGAAAGATATCTTTTCTTTTAGTTTCTTATAAATATTTCTGTTCTTATACACAGCGTTTTTTTTTCTTCCTCTTACGGATTTGTTAATAGTTTGTACAGAGGTCCTAGCATAAGTAATTCTTACAAGATAATCGTTCTCTAGTGTGTATAATCGTGTGTGTAGTTACAAGTTCGTCAACGTATATATATATATAATATATATATATATTTAATATCATTGTTGCTTCCGAGCGAGCTTCCGAGAAAATCGGACGTCCGATTTTAACAGCGGTGACATCGTCAAGCGACATGTAGGAACCTCTCTTTCACACACACATTCTCTCTTTCTTTCTTTCTCTCTAACTCTTGTTCGTAAATTGAAAACAATTGAACGTGACGAGGACCGAGGATCGCATTTTTGCATGGCCATCGACGCGAAATTACTTTTGCGTGTAAAATAACGTTGGAGATGAATGCATTCGTCATTGCATCGCGCGGCGCATTTAAGTCGGAAACTCTGATTAAGTACCATAAGTAAATTATGAAACGCCCAGTCACAGTTTTTATGAACAAGATCTTGAGTTTTTAAAGAGTGGAAGTGTGTCGGCTTTGCGAGAGAATGCTCAATTTTTAATCTACAATGAATAAGCTATACATCAAGTTTATTCGCAGGTAGATATTAAATTAAATATAGGAATAAAAAATTTAATTTAAAATAATAGAATAACAGTAAAAAAAGAAATATCCAACAAATATATGTTAAATCAATAAAAATAATTTAAAATAATTCATAAAATGAATATTTTTTTACTTGAGCAGTAATATCGTCTTGAAATATTGTTCGCGTCCTTTCGCAAATAAAAAGTGACTCAAATACGTCGCTTACGTATCTAAAATCGCGCCTTGCGCGTTAGATTTGTTTTAATCGGAGATCTACAACGGAGAAGGACCACTTACGAGGCCATGCATTTACGCACATGCATATATGCATCGGTGGAAGTTTGTCTCTCGGCATCCCCTCGTCGTTTCTGTTACATTTTTACATTGTCTACCGTCGAAGCTTATTTAATAAGTAACAAATAAGGATCGATAGCGTGTGGAACACTATCTCGCCCCTCATTTCTAATAACAAACTAAACCTTAAGCTACGCTAACAATAAGTGAACTCGCGGATTACTATCGTCGAGACGTTAACACACGTTGTGTCATTAACACGCTGATTCCAGGCGGAACGAAGGTACTTTGTCGGATTAGAAAAATTGGAACACGATCGGATTCGCGATTTAAAGAGCGGGATAATCGCCGGGAAAGTAAGACAGTCGAATTCCTTGAAGGAATAACGCCAGGGACCGCGATAATGCAATAATATAGTAATCAACGTGTCAATCATCTGCCGCTATATAAAATTTAAGCTTGGACGAACCTAAATCTCGAATTTTTTGAAGCATCGGTCGCTTCACGAAGGTCAATCGCTATTCTAAATCGCAATTTATCAATGATTATTATGAAATTATCAATATGAGAGTAATTGCATGTACCTCCGAGAGGAGGCAATATTTAAGCATAATCTCGAAAATCAGTTTATCGGTTTCTTAAGTACGTTATTAAAGCTACGTTATTTACGTGTTACTCCGCGCGCATTACATGAATATATACATATATATATATTCATATTGGCCTATTGGGTGCCTCGGAAGAGATGCGCACTCGATGACATTAAAATGCAGTCGGATTTTTCAAGTTGACTGAACTTTGATCTCTTTTTGATTTGCAGCATTAAATAATCTTGGCGCGACTGGGCTTCTAAATAAAATATCTCTCTGTTAAAATTCACCGAACGTTGGGCCGAGCAACACGATTTATATATATATTATTAAGGTATGTACATTCTCGAAGCCTAATTCGCCAAAATTCTTTAATTTTCGACGACACACAATTGCGTGATTAACGATTTCGAGATAACGAGGTTTCAAACGAGGGGTACGTGGCTTCTAAGATATCCTATAGATACAGAGTAACCCATTTTAATGAATGCTGTAAAATATTTCCTACATTAAGCGAAATACAGCATGCTTTGTATTTTATGTACTTCGATAACGATACTATATATATGGAGGAAAAAAATGTGTCCCGATTATTTAATGCGAAATATTTCACTGCATTAATTACAACGGGACGACTTTTTATATTTATAAGATAATTGTGTATGTATTTATAACTAATTTATATTGATAATTGTATTTATATTATTTATATTTGCATTTGTCTTTGTATTTATATATTTATGTTCATGTATGTATATTCGTATTTATATTTATATATTCATATGTTCATATTTATAGTTGCATTTATGTTCATATTTATATTCGCATTCATATGTATACCTATATTTTTATTTATAATTACTTATACACACACATATATATACATATATATGTGTATATGTATATATATGTATGTATATAATTTGCTAAATTGTGTCCAGCAACGTCTGGACCTAATCTTCGTTCGAGATATACTTCTCGTGTATCTTCTTCGCGCGTAGATCATGGAACCTGAACGACTGAAAAATCGGTGCATTAAAAACTATCTCAACTTCTTGTGCGCGTCTAATGCGAAAGTAAAACGACGGATGGCGATGGATATGGAAAAAAACGACTATTCGAAAAAGTGCAGATCGAAAGCGGTAGCGGTGAACGAACTAAAGAAAAAAAAAGAAAAAAAAAGAGAATCGATTCACACTCTCGTTCGACAGCTGTGAATAATCGTGTACTTTATTTATTTAACGTTTAATTAGACTTTCGCAAGTTCAAAATCCAGTTTAATTCTTCCCACACTCATTACCGCTATTTTAATTTTAATGTCCATATGATTATTATATATAAGTGTCGCTCTCTCACACTCGGTTAATTGATTGCACGTGAGAAACAAATCCTCCTTTTTTTTCTGTTTTTTTTTTTATCTCCTCTCTCCTCCTCTTTATTATTAACTCTTATCTTGCACTCGGCGAAACGTAGTAGCATAACTTCCCTAAAATTCACCACACTTTAACCGCAATAAATAATGTTGTGTGTTACTCGCTGCTTACTTTAATTAATTAAGTAATTTTACAATCGGCGACACGAGACGATCCCTCGCCGTACCCCGTAAAATTAGATAACAACAGAGATCCCCGAGAGCTACAAACAAATTCTCAGTAATCGCACAGCGGGCATGTCGTTACTGCACGTGTCCATCACATAAGCACAAATATCTCGCTTCTTTTTTCTCCTGTCGCTCATCTAAACAAGCTCCCTTACAGCCTCTCTTCGCATACTCGCGTTTTCTTTCCGCCCTGATTAAACATGCAACCGGCGACCGGAACTGAAATGATCTCGAGTTCCGCCTCGAGCTCAAAGCCGCTGTAAGTAGCGGTAGGTGCGAATATACCTGCATCTGTACATATATTATACATATATAGGCACGGATGTGATATATATCGTACGTGTATGCGCCAAATGTCGAGGTACATTTGGAGGAAAAGAAAAAGTAAAAAGAAATCGGTTGTATGCGAGACGGCTGTTCCGAGTGCGCTGCTCGGATTAATCTCGCGATTCCCATTCCGCTTCTCGTTAGCTTCGCCATCAGCCTCGCGCCGACCCTTCGGCCGCGAATTGAAAAATGCGAAAACGAGATAAGTAAATGCGTAAGTACGCGCGCGGTTCTTACCCCCTTCAGCGCGATCAATTTCAATTCGGCACAACCGATTATCTATATCGTTTTATTGAGGATACCCGGACCCGCCGAGTAAACCGATTGAACGCGACAGTGATCTCGATAAGTGTGTTCTAGTACGGAAGAAATATATGTTCAATGTCTGTAAAACGATCATCAACGTTTATTGAGATACATTATTGTTATCGAAAGCATTTCAACTCTCCCTATTTACCCTTACAGGTAGCCCCGACAGGTAGGATAATTTAATCCGCGCGCGCATTTACCGTTATCAGACGATTAAACATCGACGCAGAGGTAAATGACTTACAACGACAATGAATTAGATCGTAGCTGATAATGCGTGCGATTGCTGTACAACATGTGACGCTTGGCGCGGCGAATTTCTCGAAAGTCGATCCTTACTTTCCTTCGTACGTGAGACACACGGTAGCGTGAAATGTGAGAGAAAAAGAGAGAAAGACATTCCCGACGCCGCCGCGAGGAATCCGGACGTCTCCTCTCATTTCCGGCAAGGATTCTCGCGAATCGTTCACGCTACCGTCTGAGAGAGATGAGCGTCGCATCAATTACCAAAAAAAAAATAAATAAATAAAAAACCAACCGCGAAGCGCGTGCGTTAACAAGATCCTGAGAGAATTATCCGTGAGATTTATTTCGCGGATC